TACATAAAATTTAAAGTTTCTAGACAAAGATCTACTGTATCAAAATTGTAAATGAAAGACTTTTTTCCTGGCTTACAAAATCTAGTTTGGGAGATTTTGCATTTACTTTGCAGTTGGAGAGGCCGAGGGGTCTTAGAGAGGCCCTGCTCTGCACCCTTCTTATGGTTACCACGATGTCTCGATTTGTACTATGGCTGCTGCCCAGCCACCCCCAGAGCCCTCCTCTCTCCTTGTAGTCCATCTTGTTCCCACATAGTGCCGCCCTCGTCTGCCAGCCAGCCTTGAAGCCACTAAGCAAGCAACACACCAAAAACAGGGGTTTGGTGGGGCACCTAGGTGGTTCAGTTGGTTAGGCGTCTGATCCGTGATTTTGGCCCAGGTCATGATCTCTGGGTTGTGAGACCGAGCCCCATGTTGGGCTCCATACTCAGCAGAGAGTCTGCTTGAGATTCTCTCTCTCCCTTTTCCCCGCCACCCCCCCAAATAAATAAATCTTAAAAAACAAACAAACAAACAAGTGTTTGGTGCCCTAGGTCTTGGCCTCCCCAGGTGTACCCTAGTTTCCAGTATAGGGTTTCAGCACAACACTGTATTGTGACAGACCTGGCCTTAATCACAACAGTCCCACTTCCAGGATTTTATCCATTTAAGATCCTCTGGTGAAACATCTTCAAGTCACTTCCAAACCTTGTTGGTCAAGACTGTGGTTTCAGCATATGGTGATCAGGGATTTTTTTTTTAAGTGACAATGGATTTGAAACTACCCTCATCCATGCTACCATAAGGGAATTGATGACATTTTTTATGCTTTAGCTTAGACTGATTTAACTTGAAGGTAGATTCGAACACAGGGATTCACCACTGTGATTAGAAAGGAACACAACTGCCTGGACTGAACCATAGGAGGTACTTGTTTACCTGAGACGCCACTTAATCACTCACCTGAGATGCAACTTAATCATCATTCTGCCCAATAGCTACTTACCTTGACTTGCTTGGGATGATGGCCGAGTACAGCTCATTCTCAGCATGAGGGACAAAGGGCCTGGGAGATTAATGGGACAGGAGAAAGGAGAGCTGAGTTTACCTTAAACTCAGAGAGGACTCTTTCCAGGAGGAATGGAAGAATTCCAGTTCTGAAAGAAAAAAAAAAAAGAATTCCGGTTCTGAAAAATTGTGAAATCTGAGTCATCTCATCATCAGATTAATAAGGTCTGGAAATTGACTCATACTACAATCTCAATAGGGACTGACTGTCCAACCCGTTTTTTATTTATAGATTGTGTGACAGTATGGGGCAGTGTCTTATTGAAACCAGCACTTCCTAGCTGGTAGTAAAAATGCATTCCCCCAAAGGGTAACATCAGGCTTGGTTGGTACAAGCAGGACTGTCTCAGTGCCCTGGAATTCCCACTGAAAAGCTTTCAGGGCCCACAAGTGATACTTACATTGGGTTGGAGATGGGAGAAGAAAAAACTTGCCAAGGCCGAGTGAAGGTTGATCGTGTGTTTCCAGCATCTGGTTCTTCTGAGGCTACTTAAAACTGTCAGTCACTTATCTGTGTCACCTGCCCAGCTCAGCATCCTGCCCTGCCAGCAGGGACCCTTCGAGTAAACATTTGTTGAAAGAGGAAGGTTGGAACACCTGCCATTAGGGTCAGCTCTAGGGCCATGTCCAGTGATCCCTGAGAGGCTCAGCACATTTTGCAAGTACTCAGTCGATGGTTGGGCAGAAAAGAGGCTTTGCCATCCCTGCAGTTAAGGGTGTGGGGCAGAGACAGGACCACGTGGTGCTGTGGCAAGCAGACACTGACCTCACCAGGAAGGCAGGAGAACTCACGGAGGAGGAGGTGGGGTGGGTGATCACCATTATACAGAATCCTTACAGGGTAAGATCGCAGACTGGTTCTTTTTTTTTTTTTTTTTTTTTAAAGATTTTATTTATTTATTTGAC